GACAATTAAAAGTATATTCCATTAAGATCCTCCTTTTATTGATGTCAAAGTTGTACTTAAAGTTCAACAAAATTATTACAAAGTCATCTTTAAGTTATTACAATACTTACAGTTCCACCTACTATTCTTCCCAGTGGGTACCATGCTCTTTCATCAAACCAATTTAAAAATTCATAAAACCCATGGGATGCAAGATGATGTGTTGATCTATAGTTAAACCTAGAAAGAAAGAGAAGAAAATTGGGGGAGGGAATAAAAATCAAGAACCTGAAGTCCTCTTTCTTCTAAGATCTAGAAAGTAATTAAACTAACATCTCATTTACTGTACAACATTCCTTTAAATCTATAGAGTTTTAAGACAAATTACCAAGCTCTCTCAGTTATTAACCACCGTATTTTCTTCATTTCTACAGCCAGTGCATGTACACAGGTAAAATACCACAGCCTTCATTTTGATAAACATTAAGAAATTTTCTATGACTCTGAGACACACCTCTGTCATTTTCTGCATTCTCTTCTAAAACTGGTACTGTGTTAACCAATGATTGACACATCCAGAATACCACTTAAGCAGAATTAAGACCATGGAAGAATTAAGGCAAGACTTCTGAGACAGGATAGCTACCCAGTACATCTGCTGCTGCTCTGTTTCATGTAATGTTGAAAGGCGAGTAATATAATAATCTGGAATGGAGGCAACCTATTTGTTTAAACAATTATGAATCTAACGGCCCCTGCACAATCCCTTCTTTCAATCAAGAAGGATCTATATAACACAGAATCTCTGTAGATGAAGTTTCACCTCCAGTTGGTACACGTTCTCTGCTGCAGGAAGTTCCTTGCCTAATGAAAGCCTTTCCACGTATACCTTCACACCACCCATAAAACATTAAAAAGCATACACAGATTGCTATCAATTCAATAAACGTCCGATTTTCTGGCAAATAATTAATTCTTCCAAGTTTCTCAAACTTCAGATAGCAGAACTTCGCAACTATTACAAAATACATTCATTCTGCAAATGAAATCAAGACTGCTGTGAGTGGGCGTTATCCAGAACTGCAACCTGCATGTGAGTATTTAAAAGCCAAACCAACAAGTTTATTGACAATAACGCTGTACAGTTTTGAGGAAAACAAACAAAACCAACATAAACAAACAAACCAAGCCCAACCGCCAGGCCAACATTAGACTTCAAAAAGCCTGGGTAAATGCCACTTCTAAAGCAAGCAACTTCCATCAACCCAACCATCCTAATAGATATTCCTATGGGTATTCAAGCTAAAAATACATAATTTGCTAGTTAAAGAAGCATTAAAGATTATTTCTTTTGTTAAGTACAAGTCAGGTGACAAGATGGAATACTGTAACAGGCAACAGGATAGATGGGCAAGCCACCAGGCAAGACTTCTAATTACAGTCAGCATTCAAGGTTAGAGAAGCTTACATGTATTTGTCCTTTTGTCTAAAGTATCCATTTATTCCAGTAACACGCATCACTTTAACACCAAATTAAAATGTACATTCAGCTCTTTTGTATAACTAGGCTCCCCAAAATATCACCGGTTTACTTTAAATTAATTCATTTCACCAGAATAAAGCTGATGTCACTCAAGGCATCAAGTCCCATCAAGCTCCTACTTGTTTAATCAGCAGAACAAGCCTTATATCGGAACTACAACCACAAGCAGGTTATGAGCAGACTTTGTCTACACAGCAAAAGAACCAAAAGAATTGAAATTCAAGTCCAGGTGTCGGCAAACCTGAGTGCTTCACTCATTGAACTGTCACGGCATCAGTCAAGTGACAAAAAAATGCTGTATTTTCAGGAAAACTCTCCTGCATGGTAAATACGCAGTTATACAGGATATATTAACTGATAAAACTGTGGACCTTCAGCAGTAATTAGCTGTGTAAGAATATTCACATAAACAACAGTCATTTTGACCTAGAAATCTGTTTATCAAACAGCAATGTGACATTTGCTTCTTCTAAGCCTGCAACTATTCCCATTTGACTGGATTTCTAAATATTAATTAATTCTTCAGTTCTGAACTGTCAAGTGCAATATGATTTATGAAATGCTGTACCTGTAAAATTAGCCCTTATCTTAGTGTAGCAAGGTTTGTTGTTAATTTGTTTAGTGCCAAGTGCCTGCAGCACCGTGCGAGACCAAGCAGGAGCTGTACAGACCGCAAGATGCACGCACTCCAGTGATGGACCTGACCTAAAACGCAGCCACCTCTGCTATCCTAGGACACTAAAAAGGGAGCGAGAAAGGTAACGTTTACTAACATGGATTACCGTCAATTTTTTAAGTCATGACTCAAACTCACACAGGCTAAACGTTTACTTTTATAACATTGAAAGATCAGTTAAATGAAATAGGCAAGAGTAATATTGACATTCTCCTCATGTTTCAAACTAGTACAGCTTTGTAACTGACTTCAGAGGGATGCGAACAACTGTCTTGTGCTTTGGCAGCATCCCATTAAGTCTTTAATAAGAATGAATTACTGCTCAAAATTGAAACGCAACATAACAGCATTTCTACCTTTATCACTTAAAATGGAAGAATTTAATCTTCCCTCCAAATACTTTTTTTTTGGTCAGAAAAGAATCTATTAAACCCCTCCTTTAGAAAAGTGATTGATTCTTTTGCCATGAATTTAAAGCATACAGAGACAGCTGGGACTGTCTTTATAGCAGAAATGATTAGAATTAATATGGGTTGGTTAATTTTTCACTGTGGGAAGACCTCTAGGTAGACCAAGAAGTGCCCTTCTGACCACAGAAACCTAAATAAAAAAAGTATTTGGAAGCTTAACTACAGTACCTCACTTTGACTTCAGAGAAAAAGTGTTCACTTCCCCTCCCAGCAGGTAACCTGCTACCAAAAATAAATAAATATGCTTGCAAACACATGCATAGGTAAGGAGAAACCCGCTGAGTAACGCTGCACGAGGGCCAGCTTCAGGCACTGACAAAGCAGTAGCAATGGGCAGCATACAGACAACTGGCACGTGATGCCAGTACTATGCTTGATAGTACTTAGCCACTTCCAAGAAGGCTACTCCTACATGGACAAGTCTGAACCCTGTAAAACCCTTTCCCTGATGGCTAGGAGAAGAGAGACAACAGCAGCACGCACTGCAGTCATCATACAACACTCTCACTGTCTTGGTACTTGTTACAAGAAATGGGGATAGAGACACTGAGGGCTTTCATCCAACCCGCTCCCTGGCTGGCTAAAAAATAGCCAAGGAGACACCAGAACTGGAGGAGGGTGCTGGTTACGGTGACTGAACAGGATGTGGTACTGTGAGACAGGACCAGGCTGAAGGAAAGGAGGATTTCTGCCCTCCCTCCCTCCCTCAGCCATCTGATCTCGAGGCATGGAAACTGTTCACCCATCTCCCAAGGCTCTCCCTCCTCCCTTTAAGCCAAGTCAATGTGAGCCAGACCTGAGAAGGATGAAAAACGAAATTATGTGAAGCGTGTGCCTAATTAAGAACTTAGCTTCTCATCCAGAGCCTGAGATGAATATTCACATTCTCAGCCCACGACGTGAAAAAGATGCATGCTCGCTAACAGTCAGTGAAGAAGAGCTCTTGTGGACCTGACTGGCTGAACACCAGCATGTGCTGACTTTTCTTCTTTTAGCTGACATTCCAGGAGGAAAATGATGCTCTGCTCTGCTGTTCTCTTTGCCTCTTTCTGTCAGGTATGGAGTTTGAATTGCCTCCTCCTCCTCCTCCAAGCTCAATTTTGAAGGAATCATCAAGCAATCCTCTTTGTACGTGTCAGAATTGGAAGTCCCAATCACCAAATTAGCCTGGTATTCTAGTTTGAACCTTTTGGGGGATGTGAAGAATCACAAAGAAGTGATCACAAAGATGCTCTATGCATGCTACTATTAATTTTGCAGCACTACTGGAGATATCTATGTTACAGCAGGTTCAGTAGACAACTGAAGATGAGTCAATAAAGATACAGTTCTCATTTTCAAAGCATATTTTAGTTTCAGCTTACAACAGAGCACAGGCAGCAACAGGAAAATAACTGAGCAAAGGCAGCTTCTCTTTTAGTGGCAACATTAATTTGGAAACTTAACTAGGCAACTTGCAAAATAAAGCCTCTGGGGTTTTCGGTTATATGTTATGTACTGCTAATACCAAATCCTAACTATCTGTTCATGCTCGGGTTTAATTTTTATTCCACCCTGTGAACTGCTTTTTTGATGATACAAAGTAATGCTGGAAGATGATTAGTTAGTGCTATTCGCAGCCATTACTTGCTATATCCAGGAGCTATGGAACTCTGCAGCACTTCGCAGCAACAATTACTGCTATATTTGTAAGGAGAAATCTCGGGCTTTGACATTCCTAAGTTTAGTGCTTCCTTGACAAAAGTACTATTTAAGGTGAATATTCAAATCAAGTTCAGCTTATTCAGAAAGTACGAACACGTAGGAAGCGAGCACATGTAGTGCAGCACTGCAGTCACTTCATCCAGAGCTTAGCAACATTTAAGGCAAATTACACCGATGGCGGTGAAATGAAGTTGACCCTTCCATTACACCATGAGGCCGAGACCAGTGTTGCTTCTTGTGGGATTGCTGCTGACTGCCTAAATACTGCTGGTTGCGTGCTACTACTGCCCCATCATCTAAACTTTTTATCTGGCATTTACAGCCATCTGAGAATATCAAATCTCCTTACCAGCAGAGTCTGTTGAATATTTTCTAAGCCTGCGTTTATAAAGGCTTCTGTGCACTAAAGTCCTCATCTGCAGATGCACAAAATTTTCACATCTGCAAATTGAGAAAGATGACATGATAGAAACCAACTGTGAACGTTACAAGCTATCTGAACAATCCTAGGAGTCAGATTTTAATGCAAATGTAGAATCAATTCTGCAATACAGCATCTAATTAGAGACAGGCAAGTCTAGATTCTTGGAAAAGATTGTCGCAGATTGACTCCAAATCTGACATATTCTTTGCATCCAAAGGAAGAATTTATTCAGTGCAATATTTTTATGGAAAATCTAATGAGAAAGTTCAGTAACTTCCACTGAAATGAAGAAACACACACACAGTGTTCCATATCAAGTTTTAAAACACCTGCTTGCCTCCATATTATACTAGGAGCACATCATGATGGAAATCTTATTGTGAAGTCTTTAGCTACAAATTGGAAATTATCACAAGTTTTGCATTTTTTTTTTAAAATGGAAGTACAGTGTCATACGAATCACATAATAAATTCAATTCACTATAGCAGTGTTATTTCTCATCTCAAAAATACTTATTTGTGTTCAGTTTATAATCCTAGAAGAGTATATATGTCCTTTTAAGCCAGTTTCAAGGTCAGAAGTTTGCACCAGCAATACCTATAGGCCAACACTCTTATGCTAGGTGAGGAGCCTTGCCTACTGCCAAAACCAAGGTGTCGCAGACATCGCATTGAGCATGAAGGAACTGAGATGTACACATGCAAGAATCAGTGGGATGGTGGCTGGTCTTCAGTTCACCTGTGCCGAGGCTGACAAAATTCTGCAAAATGTAAGAGCAACCAAGGCAGCTTTATTTCAGAGGCAACTCATGTTCCTTTCTTTGCAACTCAGAGCTGATGTCAGCTGAATGGTTTTATTAGGTCTTAAATCTAATACAAACATAAGATACACTACATGAATTGCCCCCAGTTAGAACATTTATATATAATCAAGTATTTATGTGATTACAAATCTTTTCTTCTGGTATTTCTTTTTTTGCACTCCTACCAGAGTTTTGTTATCACTTTGCATGCTCAGCTGGAGTTTCTGCACCTCGCTGGAAAACAAACACCCAGAAGTCATGAACACATTAACTCTAGCCAGTCTGTCACTGGAGACATGGTACATGCTCACACAGCTCTTACTGAAGTTGATTGAAAATGCTAATTATTAAGTCAAGCCTGCCAGAAAGTAAAAATAACAGCTTTGACTGAAGTAGAGTTTAAAATTGTCCTAATTCTAGCTGTGTTAGGGGGGTTAAATATGGGAAATACGGACTTTTTGGGATTTTTTTAGTTGTTTTATCTTTAAAGATAGGGATGCGTGATTTCTCCTTGTATTCTGAGATAAGCCCCAACTAATATCAAGTATTTGGTGAAAGCTCTCAAGAGTGTCCTACATTTAGAGACCCAAGTGATCTTTATAGCTTCTGTTGCAAGCAGGGCCGTCTGAAAAGAGAAATACACGTCCTGCAAACTGTCTCCCACAAGTCTCACATTTGATCTACTGATGTAATAAAATGGCAAGATGAAGACAAGTTCCGCAGTGGTATGACCACCTAACTTCAGAAAAGATGGACATTCGGAGTTGGAGGAAGATGTATTTTTTCTTTTCCTCTTCCTGGAATTGCGCTGAGCAACTGAACTCTCCCTGTTTGTAACACCAGTAGAATAGTCTCTGATGGGGAAGAACAGCAAACAGCCTAGGCAGAAACAAAGCTGGATGGCACAACCCAAAGGGTAGCTGATATTGTTCAGGTGCAACATTCAACCACGCTTAACATAAACCCTGAAAAACACCAGAATGTGTACAGAATAACCATTAAAAATAGCCATTCGCAATATCAGAACATCCCTAATGCGTTTAAGAAAGATTACAGCATTCCTGCTGCCACTTCTTGGCATGGTATTTTGACCGCCTGCAATAACATGTCACGCTTAGCGGACGCTAACATCAGGAATTGCATGCTGCCAGTAGCTTAATGATATGAAATGCTACAGCGAGCATACACTCTTAACTTCTTTAGAGAGCCCAGGGCATCTTCAATATTTTTGCTAAATAGCTGCAAGCTTTCTAAAGCATTCCATGACCACTCCTTATACTTTTCACACAATCTAGTACATCTGAAGCCACGGCATGCTTCCCATCATCACTGTAGTAGGCGTATATCTGCCTACGGTTTCAGACACTTCCTCTGATGCCTAAAAAGCTTTTTCATGACCTTTTTTCTGTCTTGTGTTTGAACTATTCCATGTCTCAAGGCAGATTATGAAGCAGAGAGTTAGTTTTATCAATAGTAAAAGTCATACTTTGCTAGTGAAGTCTGCCTTTCATAACATTTTAGACCGAACAAGAAAGTGATGATTCCATTTTTATTTCAACAGTCAAAATTCCCAAAAGGTTACAATGATGGTTTAAGCAGAATCATTCAGCATTATTGCAGGGCAAATTTGAATGCTCATTTTCTTCTCTACTAGACAAGTAGAGAAGAAACTACTGGACATCACTGCAGATACTACACTGTGTCTGGCATCAATACTGATGGCGATGCTGGTTCTATATCTTTTGATAGCATCAGCTTCTTCAGAGGCATCACTTCTCTGCCCAGTACAATACTAGTTACCACAAACTGGAAAGGCACTGGTGTTGTGTCTATTTTTTTCTGAGTGGTGTCAGGCTGCTCTGCATTTCATTAGCCTTGCATCAAGCAACTCTGAAGGCTGTGCGTCAAATTCAAGAACATGTTTCTTCCAGATGAAGCAGACTCATGCTGTACTTGCTGTTAATGTGATGAAGGCTGCTCAACTTCAGGAGCTTCCATATTAAGGGCTGGTACATGAAGAGCTGGGTGGCAGAAAGGAAACCAAAACAGAATTAACTGAATAATAACATTTTGAGAAGTAAAGATTTTTTTCCTTGAGGAATGTGACACTAGAAATCACTGGGCTGAGCAAGAGTGCTTCCAAGGAAGCAACTGGGAACAGAGGATGGCTCCCAAAGCAGGCTTCATGGTTTTCAACTCCAGAACAAACAGGTACTTTGACACCTAAACAGTGATAGTAGACTCTTTTTGAGCTGAACTAAAACCGCTATCCTGTAGCGAGATCTAATAGCTACTCAGAAAAGAATACTAATTTGTTAGAGTTTGAAACGTAGAGTAAAATAAAGGACATGTCTTATTCACTGTGGGTACTTTAAGTACCTTTTAACAGTTCTGAAGTATCCATTACAGTCCTCATCTGTATTAAAGATGTAATAAAGTCACCTAGACACAACAATGCGGCAGCAACTACGGAGTTACTAGCTGCACCGAACTGCGGTGGGACCGATTTCAAAATCAGCTTCCCATTAAGTGAAGTTAGTGAAAATAGAAAGTGAAAGGTAGCGACTGCTAGTCTGGACCCAAGGTGACCTGGCAGACCCTTCCTAGGCTGCAAAATACAAAAAGCAAATGGGGCTCTTAGAAAGGCTGTGCCTCCAAGGTTACTTGGACTGCCTTGTAGCAATACAAAGAGCAGGTCCAGCTGGAGTCAGGCTTTAGATATCAAATCGCTTGGTACAGCTTATGCCAGTACACTTTTTTTTTTTTGTCAGCTCACAAAACGAAATAATCTAAAGTGTTGTGATTGCATGTCAGCAGCTTAGCTCAGTTTGCAAGTTAACATAAGGTAGTGTTTCATCCAATATTTTATTCCTTCAATATTTGCTCTTTAGTACATCTCTAATACACTCACTATTCTTCCTTCTGCAGCTCTCAGTTATCTGAGCTCCCTGACTGCTTCTTTCGGTGTCTTTTCTGGTTGTAGATTCTGCTTAGCTCAAGAAGCTGGACCTTTCAGAGTGCACCTGCTCAGCTCCATCTGGTGCGATACCGACTCACTCTTTACTACAATGATGCTGCAATAATAAAAATTAATGTTTCAGAGTGGATAATACGAAACGTCATCAGAGCAGAACCAGACGGTCCACATGACTTGTTCAATTTCTGTCCAGTGACTGAGGTCAGGGTAAGAGACCTGATTTTGTTTAGCTCTATGCATGTCTGCTCAAATGCTGCTTAACACTTCAGTGACCTGATGCTAGCAGACATAAATATTGCATTCTCTGTATCATAGACAGATAAAGCTGTCTGCAGGACAAACCCAGGATTTGGAGAAAGCTAGAAATAAATTTAATTGTGCCCTAACCGAACAAAGCTGAAAAGAAAAAGGCATGAATAACCCAAACTGCAAATGAGCAAGGAAGGAAAAGTAGATGATGAGACACAATTTTGGGATGCCTTGTACTGGATTACACACACACACACGTTAACTGTGGCAGTTTATCCTTCAGCTGAGCTTTGCTAGTTAAAAGGAGTGCAAAAGTGCTCCTAATCTGCTTTAGTGCCTAAATCAGGTAACTAGCTTGAATCACTGCTGAAAATCATACCGCTCTAAAGATTATTTAAATTTTCACCTGATTTTTCTCTGAAGCAGCTTAGGAGCACTCAGTCTATTAACACAGGCCAGCAGAAGGGACAGCAGCCTCTAGCTGAGGGCAGAGGCAGTTCCAGCTGTTTGTCCGGTGACTGACTACAAATTCTCACACTGAAGGAAATCAGTGTGGGAACAGGAGGTCACCAATACGACAAGAAAAGGCCAGGAAAACAATGGAATGCGATCTTCATCCTTCCCTGCAATACACTAGACAGGAATTTACCTTTCAAACTGTACTTTGCATTCTTGGTCCACTTTCAGTGCCTGATTTATTGTCAGAAATAAGTATGGCAAGCAGAAATTAAAGCTGTTCCTCCTTACGTTTACTTTATATCTTTCATACAAGTCTAAATCAAAGGAAAAACACAAGGTTTTACTGAATTTAATTCAACATGTTAAGAGTTACACCTAATGGTTACCACTGTTTCTCTAAAACTATGCACGAGAATCACAAAAGTATAATAACAAAACGTGATTTGCTTTTTATTAGGTATCCTCACAGAAACACTACAGATAAGTGCACTGCAGTGACTACAGCGCTCAGCAGTTAGGAGTATTTATAAGTAATATTACATTCCTGCCACGTACAACATGAAATTAAAGTTACATGTTTGCTTTCTCATTACATGATGGATTTCTAGTATTGCTCGGTCTTACTATATTATAGCTATCAACTTACTTCACTGTGCTCCTCTGTCATTTTAGATATCTAGTAAAATCCAATTTGTATTTAAAAGTAACCTAAATGCTGCTTTTTAAAACAAAAAACGGGGGTGGAGCAATAGTTTTAAATGAGATAAGCTCACTCTTACACAGATATTCTTTGAAGCTGTGATGCCTCTGTCACAAGTGCTGTTACAGAAATAGTCCCAGACTACACCCACCATTCTGTGTCCATGAGCACATCCTTTCCAAAACACATCACCCCCTTGACCAGCTGGCTACATCGGTGTGTTAGTTGGTAGTTAGATCCCTTCTGGCTTGCATTAATGAACAGTAAAAGGGATGAGTTTAATTTTGAATGCAATTTTATTAAATGACAAGTCCCAACTTCAGGTGCGATGCTTCTCCCTTCTCCCCCAGGGCCACATAAAATGGGGTAAGGTAAAACAAACACCTGGCTGCACAACAGGAACAGAGTAAGGGGGATATTAAAGCAAGAGGATCAGTCACCGCTCAGGCAGGGAAGAAAAGAGGTGTATGACAGGGGATATGTGAGAGTTGTTGGAAAGGACCTAGCAGAAGCTCTCAAGGGATAGTTCTGAGGTCACATAATCCTAAATCTTCTCTCTTCATTCTCCAGGGATGAATTAAACTGGCTTGTTCAGGACCTTCCACGCTTCAGTCCCCACCAGGCAGGACACCCTCTCAACTCTCTCCCCACAAATGCGCCTTTAAATTAGAAGGCTAGAGTTAGCCTTGCTGATTCAGAAGAGGGATTTAGACCCAGATGTCCAACGTGCCATATACCAATTTAAGTAATGATAATCTTATTTCTGAAAGAACATTTGAACAGCTACAGCACAGCTAAAGAGCTTTAGCAGGAACTATTGAAGTGTTCACCCGCTGAATAATTAAAACAGCTCGTTGGCGGATACTCATGGATACTTGAGACCAAATCAAGGTGCAAAATAAGGTGATGGAGCAGCCCACTGCCACTGGAAAAGGGGAGCTCCCCTTTTTTGCATCCAGCCACGTACCCTGACACCTGCACTTATCAGACTTCTGGGAGTGCTTCAATTTAATAACACGTTAGAAAACTTTTTCAGGAGATGTCCAACAGATGATGGGAACGTTGGGAGCCTGACTTGATTAGATGCAAATAGGGCCAATTTGTTCCAGTAAAGACACGCCTAACAACACCTTGCCATACTGTAGGGATCCAGAGTCAGCCCAGAAGACGCTGTGCTCCCTTCCCATCAGTGGAATTAGCTCCCTGGAAGTTCTTGATGGAATCTTTGGAATCACCGTGCACAGGCTCCCCAGGACACAAATGGTGTCCACAGGTACTCCAGCACAGATACCGAGATAGAGGACAAAATTGCTTAACACCCTGGGTAAAAGCACCACTGGACTAACATTTAAGGCTGTTCTGTGGCTTTCTGTTCCTGCAGATAACCCTGGAAGAAGACAGCAGAGAGCACTGTAAGGAGCACACCACCACAGTGTAAAGACGGGATGCGCATAGGTGAGACTGTGCTGAAGTTACTACAGCGTGACAGGAACATAAAGAAAATGAACCCTGAAATTGACTTACTACAGCAAAAGCTAGAAAATACAATTCAGCGATGCAAGAGTTACAAGCATGAGGTAACTTGAAACAAAACACATCACCAGAGCTTTTCCAAGCAAAAATCAGGCTTTACTTTGGGAGGATGGGAGAGCCTTAGTAAAGAAGCAGTGCATTACAAAATTAAAGCAGTGCCAGTTCCGTGGCTCCTGAAGACAGCAGAAAAAAAATTTACATTTGTCATTACCAGCAGTAAAATGACACTGACCTGAGATATCACAAATTAAATATTTGCAACAGTCTTAATTTAGTCTCTTCAGTGTCAAAATCCATTTTCTAAATGGCAAATGAAATATTAACATTGTTACAGAGTAAAATAAATTGTGAGAGATATAAAACAGCTTTTCAAATATTACTTCAGACATCTGACGTTGGAGAAATCATCGTAGTCACCAGGATCAGATAAACCAGCCACAGCACAGCAGCATTGCACAACTTTTTGGGAAACTCGAACGCTGCATTGGCTTTAATGATTCCTTATTCTTCAGTAAAGCAAGCCAAAGAGATGCCCATTTGCTTCCACTGTTAACATCAATATAATGCCAAAGCTCCAATTTGGTTTCGCTGACCTTCTAAATTGCAACTTTAAGGCATTTTATCTAGTGCCAAAGAAAGAATTACAGGCATTTTAAAGGCCTTTAATAGCCGAATGATAAACTTTAAGTATTTCAGCCCTGAAGATGAAACTGTCTTTTCCAAGATACACATCTGAAACAATATTTACAAATTCTAAGTTATTCAACTGAACTTCCTAATGCTGCTTGGGATAAATTTAGAATAGGAAGGAAGCACGTTCAAGATACAGACTAAAATAAGAGCTGGAGCAGAAGACATAAAGAAAGGTATTTAGGACAAGTAGGCTTGTTTTGTTCTGCGTCAAGAAAATGCATTCTGCTTTTCGCAGGCAAGTATTCTTGCCAAAAATGTGGTCCTCCTGATCACCTGCATCATCAAACAGGTGCTTTGCACACCCTAGATTTCCTTCAAACACCCCTCTCTACAGGGAAGACAGGACTAAAAAGCAAGCAAGCAACCAAAACAAAAAACCCAACACGCTCTTCAAAGCTAAACAAGAAGTAGGCTACAATGTACAGAAAAACAGAAATAAGCAGACTGAAAAAAAGAAAGCAAAGAACTCACAAAAATGTAGGCTGCCCAGATGTGAGTTACAACAGTTATAAATGACATAAGGACACGCTGTTTTTCCTTCCCTCAAAATCCATTTCCCACTCAAACAGGGTAGGCAATGCCCACGAATAGTAGAGGCACAGTGAGCCATCATTTCTAAGTAAGTGTAAATACTACTATATAAAACCACAATTCCATAAGAGCACCACCAAAAATCTACAAACAAACTCCCATGCTCAACTGCAGTGTTGTTTCCCAAGGTTTTTGTTTGTTTTACATGAGGAAACTTTTGCAAAGGTGTATTGCAATTCTATCTCCATGGATTATCAGCTCAACACAACTCTGACATGCCCTTTAACTAACAAAGTAATTTAAGCTGTGCAAATAAACTGCTGTAGAAAGCAGCACGATGAATGTTGTAACACCCAGAAATAATTCTCATTACAATCCACGTATCGCAGTAATTTATCTCAGACGGGCTCTTTAACACATGACACTGGACATGAGTCCCCCATAGCGTACAGATATTTTAAATGCCATTTCCCGTTCTTAGCAGCTCTCATGCACAAGCACACAGTTTATTCCTTGTTTAAAATAGCCCATTTCTCTTTCTAAAGCACGGCGATATTGCCTCACTTAATAGCAAGAACTTGGAAGTGTAGGAAGACTTTAATTCTCCAGTATGCCAAAGGAGCTTTCACCCAGGGAAAGCAGCAGCAAGTCAAGATATCCAAACAAAATAGATCAGCTTCTATGTCCGTGACCTTAAATTCGTTCCTTGGGCTGCTTCAGCTTCTGTAAGGTGTGGTGTAATACCAGGGCCCATTTCATTGTACCTCTCAAGCCCAGACCGACCAGCTGCTGACACGAAGGATACCCCAGCTGGATTGCCACCAACAGCTCAGGTGAAGATCAGAAGCTCAGCTACAGGGCCAGAACCAAAGCCAATCTGCTGGACATACCACAAAACTTACTGCAGTTGGAAAGCACAGGAAGACCACGGCAACAGTCCTCCTGCTGCTTCCTTGTCCTAAGTTCACTTTGCTCCCCGAGCAAGCGATAAGTCCAATGGCTAGAACAAGTTTTGCTAAAGGAGTTTACAGTAATAAAAAAAATCTGCACATGCCCTGCTCCAGAGCGCTCCTGCGGGCTCCACAAGCAGCAGCAGCTTTATCAACTCCGCTAAGTAGAAAGAAGCCCTCGGGACTGGCTCCAAATGTCACTACAAATGTACCTCACAGGGCTTGCATGAACAGAATTTTCAAAAATTAAGGAGGAAACTTTCTGCAGCACAGGCACAGCCAGACAGTAAGTGGGAAAGAATCAGACTTAATCAGGAGAGAGCCCTATGGAATAGCACAAACACCCCCTAAATCCAGACTCCCCCCAGCCCATTTTTAAGCTATCAGTACCTATAGGATTTTCAATTTGCCTGCAAGCTTTACTGCCTAAAACTCCCCCCGTTCCCACCCCAAATCCAACACGAGACAGATTTAAAACATGAGAATTGGGATTACAGGTTGCCATAATCAGAGCCTATTAGGGAGAATTGTGATAGGAAACAAAAGGTAACCTTTATAAACCACCCTGACCCTATGTAATGGCATCCCATTTCTGTTTAAAAAACAGCACACATTAAGCTGCTCGCAAAATGGGGTATCTGCCAAGAAAAGCCCATTCAAGGATTTTCATCGTAGCGTTCCCTCAGTAACACCTGACTAGCTAGAGCATTCCTTGAAGACTGTTTTTAAAAAAAAAATAATAAAAAATCAAGGCATTAAAAGCTAAACTTGTCAGTTCAGTTCACCCCAGCTTACAGAAACCATTCTGATATATTTTCCTTTTCAGGTTTTGTTCCTCTCTCCACAAATCAATAAATGGGTCAGCGTTTTGCAAGCACCATTTACCCTCCTGTGTTTTCCAGGAGGTGGCTGTCAGGACAGTCCCCGTGCACAACCATATCCCACACAGGTTTTATGAGCACTGTCCCTCCTACCCTCTTCCCCATCACTGCAACCACGTGAGGTTTGCACCCCAATTGAAGGTTGGGCTAGTGAGGAAAGAAACAACACCAATTAACAGTAAAGGGGTAGAAAACAACTGTAGAGGTGGAACCGTTTTGATTCTCACATGATTGATAGCGACTTGCTGAGGCTACAAGGGAACTGCTTTTTGGCTACATTGGTCTTACCCTGATGAAATTCGAGGTCTCCCCTCTCATAATGTCTCTGCTACACCTGCAAGCTTTGCCCTATGTTCTTTTGCCAGGCTGCCCTCCTTCCATGAAATTTCTAATATTTACCACTTTCTGCAATTTCCTAAGCAGCAAAAAAAGTCTGGTGCAATCAATTTTCCTTCTTCTTGACTTCACACCATATCAACTTGCCAGAAAAGCTCACTCAGCTTCAAAACCACACTCTCCAAGTACCTAAGCATGGGAAGGATGCTCACATCCCTGGACATACAGGACTTCCAAGCTTACAATCTAGAAAGCATCACAAGTCAAAGACGTGCCTGTGCCAAGAGAATTTTCAAATATATTCCTATAAAGTGGAAATAAATAGAATATTTCTCATTTCACAGAATCAAAAAGCTTGTGAACGAAGAAGCTCTAGTATGTTTTCAACGCAAATCTCCTGATATTTGCCAACATCTCAAAATCAATCCAAAGTGATTACATTCAAACCAGATGGAAACAAATGTTTTCCCAAGGTCTGGGAGTTGTCAAAGATCATCAACAAAAGGAGGTGGTCGGGAAGAGAATGTTTGAGTGGGAAATGTTTCCTAAACAGATCCGCTTTCATGCGCCCACCTTCAGCAAGGTTATGCGAGGGGCTGAGAGCCTCCAGGAAGATGGAGTTGGAGGTGACACTGCCTGCCAGCACCAAGGAGCAACAC